ACCCGCTGCGCCACCAGGGAGGGCCACTTTTTTTTTTTTTTTAAGAGAGAGAAGAGGATGCAGAGAAATAGAAGCCATGCCTGGGGTGTCCCGGAATTGATTCTGGGGCTGCTTTGGTGGCTGAGCTCCTGCCCCTGCACCAGTTATGGGCAGAGCTTAGCAGCACAGAGCTGTCTTGCTGGATGTGGTCCTGAGGCAGGAAATGGAGCAGTGTGAGGTGGGCCACATGGGGAAGCATCTCTCTCTGTGCCATGCACCCATTCTGAGCCTTCCCTTCCCATGTCCGCACACTGGGCTGTGTCTCCTGCTCCCAGCTCTGCCCCCAACTCTGCCCCTTTACCAGGAAGGGACAATGATATCTGAGAAGCATGCTGTTTCCTGGGGCCCCTAGCACAGGAACTGTGTGTACCTATCTCCAGCTCCCTCCCTCCCAGTGTCTCTTCCCCTCCCTCTCCTCCCTCCCCCTCCTCCCCCCTCTTTCCCGCTTTTCCCCCCTTCTTATCCCTCTAGGCAGCATTTTCTTCCTCCTCACTTATATTAATGACGCTCCAATGCTTTTCATATGCTGGGAAATTATATTAGTGTGATTTCTCTTTAGGGTAGGAGTGTAAGCATTAACCTCAGAGGCCCTTGGAGAAAATCTTATCATTAAAAAAAGAAATAGATAAGCAACAATAATTAGGGATGAAAATTAGACAAGAAAATCAGTAAATACCGTCAGACTTAAGCACACTTAAATCTTATGATGTGGCTTACAAACCTTTCTACCTTGAGTTACAAAACAAGATATATTTAATATCACATCCCAGTGCATACTCATAAACACAAATGCAGCCAGAAATAATTTCAAAAACTAATACTTACCTTTAATTGTACAATGAACTAAGGCATTTTCCATTCTGTTTTGGACTACTTGATTATTTCCTTCCTTTTTCTTCCCTTCCCCTCTAAAAAAAGCTCTCACTGTAATAATTCCATCTAATGAGCTATGATTTGGAGTGGGAAGGTCACTGCTTTATAAATGGCATACTTCACAGAATCCACACACGGAAAGCCACACAGGAAATGTGACTGGAAGAACTGGGCCATCTTGCAATCTAGAGAGAATTTCTTAGGACTTACTAAGCAAAATTGTATGGCTGATATTGACAAGACTAAGTTCTCACTCATCAGTTGATAGGTTCTTAGGAACTCTGATTTTAAACAAAATGACCTACAATGAAACCAGTTCGACTATAGTCTAACTGATATAAACAAGAATTAATTTCTACAGTATATTCTTGGGATAAAAGCATCATCAAACTTGTAAAGACTCAAAAACACGTCAAATATTAAACAATAACTTGTATTCATTCATTTTTCAAAGTCACTTGTTCCAGTTCAGGGGCATCGTGGTCAAAGATTGCCCGGGCTGCTCTGGGCACAAGGCAAGGAGCAAGCAGCCTGGGACGGCACCCTGGCATCACAAGGCGCACCCACGTGTGCTCCAGTAGAGGTGATCTGGGAGTCACTGAGGGTCCTGCAGTTGCTTTCTGGACTCAGTGAATTGCTTTTTTATATAGTCACTTAAAGAACAGCAAGATAAATCAGAGTGGATGCAAAAGTAAATAGATTCTTAAGGAGTCTCTGAAATTAATATCTACGAATCCTATCTCAAGATGCCTCCTCTTTTGCATTCTGTAGCCCCAAATGTAAAGCAAACTATGCAGATTTTGTAAAAGCAGTAACAGCGAAGCGGGCAGCACCAGGTTCCACAGAGTCCTCTTACCTGTTAGCGGCAAACTTGTTTGAGATGAAACCCCCTGGAATTTGCGTCACAATATAGCCCCAAAAAAAGGATCCGTGGATAAGGCCCACTGTCTCTGGATCCCAGTTAAACTGTGCTGCCTGGTAACGAGAAATCACATACAGTTGCATTTGTGAGAAAACGCTCAACCAGCATTTTTTTGTTAATCGCCTGCAGTGTAACCCAACCATGGGCATCTTTCCTTCCTCAGTTCAGCAAATACTATAGAGAGCCGTAAATTTAAATAAATATATCTACACCAAGTACATATAGACGTATACATGTAATCAAAAACTACAATAAAATATAAACAGGTGAATATGTCTCTATGATATGCCAGCTAGTGATTAGTGTTAAAAAGAAAATAAAACAGCTTCGGAAGAACAGTTCCAGCTTCACGAGGTTAGTTGCTAGATTGCTTTAATTCTAGTTTCCTGAGAGCACAAAGGTATTAGAGTCTTAAGTCTCTCACTTCTTGATGAGAATAGATCCCGCACTATCTACCCATAGACTGTCCAGGGCTAAACTGCATGAGTATTTTTAGTAGGTGATGCCTCTGCTCAGAGATTCTGCACTGAACACATTAGGATTGTGTCTGGAACACAAATGCCAGCGGCCATATTTAGGATCATGACCGGGACAACAAGACCCCTCCCCCAACTCTCAGTCCCTGGAGTTGTGATTCTCTAGGACTGGCGTCATGGTCCTCCATTTCCTGCCCACGCCAAGTCCCTTCTTCTTTTCAGAGCACTTACAAATGTCCCTTTCTCCCAGGAAGCTCCCTCACTGCCCCCAACTGAAGTGGACACGTTTTTCTGCCCCTTTCTCGCAGACCTCTGTTCTCACTGTCCCATTTCCAGGGCCCTAGATTCATCCCCAGAGAGATGTGGATGGTGCAGTTCTGGACTCTCATTTTCAACTGCCCTGCAGTCACTTGTGACCTCAAGAGCTGTAAGGACAACTTAAAATCTCCAAAAACAAATTAGTGATAGCACCTGAAATCTGTTCCCCTTAATCGCATTTCTATATAACTTCTCTTTTCCTTATTCTCCATTAAGAATCAGAATACTCTCCCCCTGTTTTCTCCCCTCCCTTCCTGAATACCCAGACCTACGGTCAACTTTTAAGTCCAGAGAAAAATGACATAAAGCATAGTTTAGATCTTTATCGGTTCCTCAAAGACTCCAGAGGGCAAACCATAGAAAATCAAGAGTATACTCAGCATTGTTCCTTAGGTTTATCACGTTTTTCCCATATGCCCTAAAGCCGACTCTATTGACCTGGTCCTATCTTTTCAGGCAACAAATGCAAACCAGCAGCTCATTTTGAACAGGGCCTCAGCAGACAAGTTTTAATTAGTTGGGCTTGCTCACAAAAGGCTGGGAGAATACATGCGATACATATCTGAAGCCTGGCTAATACACATCATTTTGGATTGTAAAAATGCATGGTATGCCTCCCCAACACCTGTACTGTGCTCTGTCTCCCCTGTGAAAGTAAACAAGTGGGATATCATCTTAGAACAGATTCAGCTGTGGCATCAAAATGAGAATTGTTAGAAGATTCTCCATGGTGTTTGTTTCCTTTGGCAAAATCATCTCTTAGCTAACAGAGAAATGTGAAAACAGCCTGCAGGCCAGCTGAAGATTTTTTTTAATAGGCTGAAATCAAATTTTCCCAAATAGTGCTTGGCAAAAATTATTTGAGGCACACTAATAGAGGCAACACTAATAGAGGTGTCTACCCTCAATAGAAAGTGAATCCTGGGCCCTCCCTGTTGGCCCCAGGGGTTAAAAACACAGCACTGTGAAGCTAGCCACAGCCACTGCAGTACAAGTTCGATCCCCAGCCAGCGAGGCGACCCACATGGTGCTGCAGACCTCTCACCTGTTGCTTCCCTCAGCAGTGTATCTACAGGAAGTAGATCTTCCTGTCCTGCTCCCCACTCTGTCTCTGGTGAACCCTCTCACTCCCTGGACCTCTGGCCTGTACCCCAGTTCTTGTATACATAAATAAATCTTAAAAAAAAGAAAGTGAATCCTGCACCTCGCCTTCTCTCGGAGGTTCTCACGGGACAGGTTCCTGTTTCCCAGGACACCAGAGCCTCATAGCCTGGTCAAGAGAATAACAATTTACCAATACCATTTGGGGAACTCTGACCTAAATCTTTCTCCAAAAATGGGCAAGGACCACCAGAGAACTATTAGATGCCTCTCTGCAAAATGATGTTTCCATGAGTCCTTCTGGGGTGTGCTCAATTCAAGGAAACGTGTATTTATTATGTCTCCATGGGACTTCCATTTTGTTTTTCCCTTGTAACCTCAATTCTCTTGGCGAGCAAATCTGATTGTCTCTTTCCAGTGACTGACTCATAAAACGACATTATTTAAGTCACATCAGAATATGCTTGCTTCTGACTGCAACAGCCTGGGAACTGGCTCTTCTGCTTCCATCCCAGCCTCACTTTATACCCATCAGATCGTGGCTGGACAGTGATTGTTCTGGAACACAAATTCTATTGGATAGCCTCTCTGTTGGAAGCCCATCCATGACCCGTGACCCCCTATACAGTTCAGCCCCCTTTACATAGACACAACTCCTCTATAAACTGTCTCCCCATCTCTTGATGTACCCCACTCTCTTACTGGGAGTTCTCAATCTGGTATCCTGTGAATGGAGGGAAAGCGCCTCTTTGTTTTCATTAAGTGTTAACTGAAATTTAGCATTTTCTGCAATTTTGAATGTGGGTGGCACACCATTGTCAATCCTGTCACTCTGTCACTGGTAGTAATTACAGTGCCTCATAGGCCTTGACAGTTGTTGCCACTCTCACACTCTCATTTATACGTCAAACTTCACCATTACTAGAATTTAAAAACCCATAGTTAGATGTTGTTATTTGATATCTTCTGAACAATGGGCCTATGTCTCTCTAACGTAAGTCTTATTGTTAAGTATTTTTGATATTTGTATATTAATATAGTTGGCTTCCTGAATAATTTCATGTGTTTTAAGAATTTAAAACGTTATTTTGACATAGGGTTGCTAAGTCTTCCCCAGGTTGTCAAAGGGGTTCATGGCACAGATAAGATCAAATCTCATCTCAGTTCCCTAACACCACACATTCTCTTGTTCTTTTTCCAACATTTTCACACATGATGTGCTTTTTCTTTCTAACATTCTTCTGTCCCCAATGCTTCTTTGCTGGTCACATTCCTCCTCAGTCTTTAGCTCCATCCATCACTTTCCTTGGGAATTCTTTTGTGCTATCATGAATTGGAATCCTCCTATATAACCCCAAGCATCCAGTCAGGCCCCAATAGCAAAACCAGCCTCAAATTACAACACTGACTTCTACATCTCTGTGAGAGCAGGGGCCCTGTGCTGTGTTGTCCACCTTTTCATCCCCCTCTCTCCACACAGCACCCACACCTGATGGCCACCCTACATCATGGTCCCATGGGGAGGGAAGGGAGGTGCTTTCTTTCATGTAACAAAGTAGCAGTGACCCATGGTCGATCGACACAGACCTGAATTTCCGGTTTCCCATCAATATACACAGTGCTGTTATTGACCATTTCCACAATGGCGACTCCAAGGTTGCACCGAATCCCAAAAGAAATGCAGAATCCCAGCCCACTCATGATGGCGATGATGTAGCGCTTGGGGACCCCACAGCAGGAGCAGTCACAGAGCGGGGCCCTTGGCCCGGATCTCTGCACGGGCCTGCCATCTTCATTCAGTTCGATGCTACCTTCTTCATTGGTTCCATCGATTTTTCTACAGTGGAAAAGGAGTGGGCAGAGAAGAAAGGCTGGGATTAGAGAAAAATGGAAATGAGCAGGCAAAGAAGAAAAGGTGGACCAGTCAAGGAGCAAAGTGAGAAACCCAAGGTAGGATGCAGACTGCAAGTATAAAGGTTGTTTATGTTAGTGCTGCGGTTAGTATTTCAAAAATCAATGAAAATGGCCAGAATTATTGACAACCCACATGCTGTGTGGTATTTTCATAGGATTCAAATCATTTGGATCTCACAGGAATGCCAGGTGGTGGTTGCTAGTGTTATCTTCTCTAGATTACAGATGAGGAAACCAAGGCAGTGGGGAGCAAAACCAATTTAGTCTCTAACCTCAACAGTTAGCTCAACACTGATAATTTTGCTCCCTAAGTTACTCAGGAAAAAAATCTTGGCTCCATCCTGGATTCTTCCCTCACTTGTAGTCCATCTACATTCAGTCTAGGAACCAGTGTGATTTAGTTTGAATATTCACTCTCCCACTTACTGAGCTGTATGTTTGGCCAAGTTAACCTCTCTGAGCTTCAGTGTCTTCATCTGGAACATTAGGATTCTAATAATAGTTTCTTCTTCATGGGACTGTCCTTAGTGTGGTTATAAAAGATTTATTATGTTTGGATCATTCAGAATAGAGTTTGACATGTATAAAAAAAAAGAATAAATGTCAGCTAGTTTTACTGCATTAATCCTCACAATCGGGATTAGCAATAAGTCATGTAGATAGCATGCACTTCCTGCCATGTGATAAGAAGGCATTCCACTTCTCTAGTATTCTTCTGGGAACCCCATACTCCTAGTGTAAGCAAGGAAAATAACAGACAAATCAAAACCTGGTCACATTCTACAAAATACCTAACCAGTATTCCTCAAAGCTGTCAAAAACCCTAAAAAACTGTCATGGATGAGAGGACACTGAGAAGCATGGTAACTGAGTGTCACGGGGTGTCCTGGATTGGATAGGAGAAACGACATTAGTGGAAAGACTAAGGCGATTTTAATAAAGTATAAATTTTAATTCACAATGTACTAATTTTGGCATCTTAGTTTTGATAAATGTACCATAATAATGTAAGATGTTAACATTAGAGGAGTGTAAAGATGTACTCTCTAAACTTACCTACTCTTACTCTTACAAACCAATGGCAAATCAATAAAAATTTTATTTATGAAAATGAGAGGAAATTGGATAACAAACACATGAAACTCTCTATACTATCTTTGTGATTTGCTGTAAGTCTAAAGGTATTCTAAGTCCCAAGTTTGCTTTTAAAAAATATAGCAGAATTCAGCAGGTTAAATCGCAGCACTGCAAGCTGGCGGCAGCCATTTCAGTATCGGTTCAATCCCCGACCCCAGAGGTGACCACATGGCGCGGCAAAACTCTCCTGATGTGCCCGCTGCTCCCCTCAGCAGTGTTCTGAGTCAATCTGCCTGTTGTGCTCCCCGCTCTGTCTCTGGTGAATCCTCTCACTGCCCATGCACCTCTGGCCTGTATGCCAGTTCTGAAT